ACATTTAAAATATCTTGCTCGTAATTATGTAACAAACATTAAAAATAGAATCATTTTAAAAGAAAATTTATTCAAACGAAATAAAAATTTGTTAAAGCAAAATTTACTAATCTAATTAATCATATATAAGAATCTAATGAGAACGATTCAAAAACAACTTTCTATAATTTATTTTATAATTAAAAAAAAAAAAAGAAAAACGCTGTGGCGCCAATGTATTATAACGTTAGACACGTTTTAGATTCATCTCTGAAATCAGGTTTTTCAGCTACTTACTCGTCTCTTCTCGACTATGAACAGGTGTGGGCGTTACCTATTGTCCATCTCTTTCTTGTACACATACTCACACACACCCAATATATATATACGCACAAACTTTTATAAAACATAAAGAAAAACTATTTCTAGATACACATAAGTATATATATATATCACGTTTATCTTCCAATTTCAAGGATCGTCAAGCTGACTTTTTTTTCGTTGCTAATAAAAAAAAAATTCTGTTTACGATAGAACGATCAGTTAAATAATAAATTTATATTTGCCTCGGGTATTATTTAGAAAAAAAAAAGGAAGAACTAAAATTATGCTACTTCTTTTTTCTTTTTTAATCTTCGTCATCGTCATAGTTATTAATTACCATTACTATTATTCTTATTATTATTATCCAGATAATTAGATACGAATTTCTCTTAAATACATAACTTGTTTACAATATAATCAAATATAACTATTATTATAGTTGACATAGGTTGTAATATTCTCATTTATTTACATAATAGAAATGGAACTTACTTACATTAGTATTGTGGTGAAAAGAGAGTGAGAGAGAAAGGGAAAGAAAAGGAACTAGAAAGAGGGAGAGAGGAAGGCCACTTAATTCGCATAATCTAGTCGGTTTGACGCTTCGACGAGCTTAATATTCGTACCGACGAGCACACACGAAGGAAGAAGACTAATTCGTTACAAAATACGTTACACGATAAGTAGTAATATAAATTATTTACTTTGCCAACGACCACGATAACATAATAATCTTTACACAGGATGTGATTGAGAAACGATTGAAAGTCAATCGATAATTTGGAACTTTCCCTTTTTTATTTATCTTTTTTGTTTTTCTTTATTTATTGATCAAAAATATATTCTTTACTCTCATCGGTGTTACAAACGTCGTTTGATTTTTTTTTTTTTATCAATTATCATACACCAAAATTCATTATACTGTGAGAAAATATTATTTCACTCCTCCATTAAATATGGAAACTTATATATAATATATATTATTATTGTATTATTATATTATAATAATATATAATAATTACTATATTATATAATATATATAATATATAATATATA